AAATGGTGATAATGTGATGTCGAAAGAATGCTGATTTGATCTCCAAATTTCCACGCCTTCAATTCATTGATTCACAATCTGATCCTCTGAACATGATTTCTCCTAAACAGTGTAGTGTTGTTGGATGGTTTCGATGTCCAATCCCTTCAGCTTGACCACTGATTCGACATGTCCCTTAAGAGTGTGAAGCTCCCTCAATCTGCAACATAGCCCTTGGTGAGAACATAAAGTGAGTTTTTGAGAAATTTTACGTTAACAAAAAGGCATATTTACTTGTAAAAATCACATGCAAGTATAAAAGTTTTGTGATGGAATAGACTTCTGTCTTCATTTGTATCTTTGGAAACAAGAACAGCTCTGGATAAGATCATGTTTATACCTTGCAACCTCAGCCCTTCTCTTGGCCTGCTCGGCGATTTCAGACAGCTCTCTGTAGTGTTTGTCATTGAACAAGCCAGCAGATTCTGGAGTTTGAAGTCCATGAAGTGTGCGTTGAGCCAAGGCCCATTGCGCTTCTCTCTCTTCTCTGCCATAGTCCTTCTTGGTGGTGAAAGCAGTCTGAACAGTCCCAAAAGGGGAAATGGATGGTTTTGTTTAGAATGGTTACAATGAAAATAATGTCTTCATGAAGTGTATTATGATAAGATGGAGATGGATGGTTTTGGCTTCCAATTATACCTTGTTCTGGATCATGGAATCCCAGGCCTTGCCGCTCAATGCATAGCGGATGATGAACTTGAGGATGTCAAGAGGGAAGTAGGTGACAATGCTGAAGATCCAGATGACTCCACCCCAGCCCCATCCAATACCTTGGATTCTAGCAAAGCTCCAGTTTGCATAGACAGCAATTAAGGTAGCCACCTGAACGCAGGCAGTTAAGAATCGGTTAGGCATACTTGCACATATATGTGATGACAAAAGGTTTCCACATTTTGGCAAGAAAGTTGGCGAAAATGTTCAAAGGGACTCACCAACTGGGCAATAAAGAAAGCAGTGACAAGCATGAGTCCAGGGCGTTCGACAAAGGACCAGCTCCTTGATCTAGTAACAAAGATCAGTGCCTGACTGATGATGCTAACTTGGAGGTAAAGAGCAGCAGTGAGTTCATCTGGGTGATCTCTGATTGACCTGACCTTGAAGATATTCTACTCAAAAGAAAACGAAATGAATTGGTTAATTAATAGATTGTTCTTGCCTTTAGTTCAGCTGGTTAACTTGTCCTCGTATGTATCAACAGAAGGAAAAAGAATTTACCGAGAAGAAATCAGTGTCAGCTGCGAGGTAGAAGAACACCACCGTCATGATGGCAAGATAGGTTCCGAGGACAACACCAGTGGCAAAGATTTCCTTGAGCTTCCATGAATCAGGCACCGGGGATGGCTTCACTCTATCCTTGGAGATGGTCATGATGGTTCCATCATTCAAGATAGCGATGATCAGGACCATGAAAGGTGAGAAGTCGAACTTCCAGATGAGGGCAATGAGCAAGAATCCCAAGACAATACGGATTGTGATTGAAACAGCATAGATGGTATAGTTCTTCATCCTCTGGAAGATGGCTCTGCTTGTCAAAACAGCACTGACAATGACACTAAGTCCTGGTTCGGTCAAAACAATGTCAGATGCACTTCTTGCTGCATCAGTTGCGTCTGCCACTGCAATACCAATATCTGCCTTCTTCAGTGCTGGGGCATCATTCACACCATCTCCTGTCATTCCACAAATGTGCTTCCTCTCTTGCAACTTCTTCACAATTTCGTATTTGTGCTCTGCGCAGATTTAGTGGTAGTTATGGTACTAAGAGCGTTGAGAAACAAGTCATATCTCTTGTCATTTAATGCGATGGGTTGGCAAAATTACCAGGGAAGACTCCAGCAAAGCCGTCAGCCTTCTCAATTAGCTCATCAATGGGAATTGAAGCAATGGACTCATCCTTGCTCTGGCCTAGCAGGGAGGACGAGGGATACATGTTGGTGCCCATTCCGAGCCTACGACCGGTCTCTTTGCCAATAGCCAACTGGTCACCAGTGATCATCTTGACATTAACACCGAGATCAAGAGCTTTCTTGATGGTCTCTGCACTGTCGTGTCTTGGAGGGTCAAAGAGAGGCAACAAACCGATGAACTCCCAGGGGCCACCAGCACTTTCTTTGTTCTTCTCAGGTACAGCCTATGACATATTACACAATCATCTTTAGCTGTACTAAAACCGTGAAGTTTTCAATGATGTGAATCCTGGGGTGAGGTGACATAAATGGATAATTCTATATTCAGTTTCATATCAGCTCACCTGTCGGGCAACACCTAAAGAACGAAGGCCACGGTTAGCAAAGTTGTCAATGATGTCATGTGCCTTCTTCCTCACTTCCCCTTTGAGTTCGCAAAGATCAATAATCTGGTGGAGCAGTGAAAGTGTTAGATATCGAAATCAAAATGTAAATCAGTGCAATTTTGACACCAAGTGAATGTTAATTTATCTTACTTGCTCAGGAGCACCCTTGCTGCTTCTGTGCCAATCTCCATTGGAGTCAATGTAGGTAATTGCTGTGCGCTTTTCTACTGGATTGAAAGGAAGGAAATGGAGCTCAGTGATTCCTGCTCTCGCCTACAAAGATCAAACAAGGCTCACAGGCATGAACCATATGGGAAAATGGAGTCGAAAAAAAAAGCCTTCTTTTGTTAGAACTCAGAACGGGTCCAATTCATTACCTCCTTTGGGTCACTCAACATGTTAACAATTGAAGCATCAATTGCATCCTGGTTCTCAGTTCTAGAAGCCCTAGCAGCGTACAGGACAACACTGTCTTTGTCCATGTTCTTGGGGAATACCTCAATCATTTGCTTGTCAACAGTCAACTTGTTAAGGGTGAGGGTTCCTGTCTTGTCACTGCAGAGGACATCCATGCCAGCCATCTCCTCAATAGCTGTCATCCTCTTTGTTATGGCACCTTGCTCTGATAGCCTGTGAGACCCAATAGCCATTGTCACAGACAAGACTGTTGGCATGGCAATTGGGATACCTCCAATGAGCAGAACCAGCAAATTGTCGATTCCTTCTCTGTATTTCCTGTGCTGCACTGGGTACATCACTACAACCTCAATTACCATACCCAAGCCAATGGAGCATATGCAGAAGTTCCCAATGGCAGTCAACACCTAATAGAATTCAGAAAACATCAGCAAATTAATTCTTGCATGCTATAAAAGTCAATTCTTTAAATGAAATGTTTTCACATTCCAACAAGAAGTTGCACTACCTTTTGGAAGTGACCGACATGGTTGGTGCTATCAACAAGGTGGGCAGCTTTGCCAAAAAAGGTATGGACACCAGTGGCAATGACCACAGCCTCGATTTCACCTTGCTTGCAGGTGGAACCAGAGAAGACTTCATCACCAGGGTTCTTTGTTACAGGTAGTGACTCACCAGTCAGGGCTGACTGATCAATCTTGAGAGCATCTCCCTCCAAGAGACGAGCATCAGCTGGGATAATATCTCCCAACTTGACACTAATCAAGTCTCCTGGAACCAGGATTGCTGCGTCCTGCTCCGTCCATTTACCGTCCCTCAAAACCTTCAAAATGATCAAATGAGGACTCAAATTTATTGATTAACTCTTTCAAAGTATTCACTATGATGAATGAGAGAAACACAAAATGGTACCTTGGTTTTGGGGGCAAGACCAGCCATGAGTGCTGCAGCAGCATTTCCTGCATTATTTTCTTCAATGAAACTAACAGTTGAGTTGATGATGAGCAAGACGACGATACCAACAAAGTCTTGCCAATCTGGAGGCTTGCCCTGCATTTGGAACCAAAGAAAATATCAGCCCATAATATATTACAAAATTAATCTCATACTCTGAGGCAAAATTCTAAAAGTTATATAGAAAATTACCCCTCCATTGGCCAAAACAATTGCCATCACCGCTGCACATTCCATAACCCATGACAGAGGATTCCACATGAACCCCAAGAACTTAAGAAGCTTGCTTTCCTGTTATTAAACATATATATATATATGTTCTTCAAAACTCAGTTCACTGTTTGGTTTGATAAATAAAAGAATCTCTAAGCAAAGAGGAAACATAATGGACCTTTTTCTCCTCAAGCTTGTTGGGTCCAAAAATTTGGAGCCTCTTCGCTCCTTCCTCTTCAGACAAGCCTTCCCTGCTACATTTCAGCTGCTTGAACACCTCCTCAATGGGGATGTTTTCCTGTCAAGGCATTTTAGTATTAGCAATCTTCTTTGCACATAAAACATTCAACTCTTTGTTTTCTTTGTTCAAGTTGATAATTTGGCAAGCATGCATGCATGCCTGCATTATCAAGTTGTCCATAAATACCACAATTATACAAAACAACAATGCTGCTACATTTGCAGAAGGGATTCTTACGAGATCAACTTGCTCATTCTTGATCTCTTCCAAAGAAAGATCAGAGGCCATGATTGCTATACTAGTGTTTGGAGAATCAATTCTAGTATAATAAAGGAAGAAAGATAAAGAGCACTAAATCTCTCTATCTCCCCCCTCCCTAATGGGCTCTACTCTTTTAATATTTTTTTTCAACTAATGCCTTTCCCTCCCTCAAACATGCATAGATCTCGTCTTAAAATGAGAGGATGGCCTTGGTAAAAAAAAAAAAAAAGCTCTCGTCCCCGTTGTGCCAATTGGCTGGACAGGCATAAATCAATGCCTCCCGTTCAAATACCAATATTTGAGCGAAGTTTTTGCGGATGACCAATATTCTAAGTAATCTCTCCTTCCTACACTTTTTTTTTTTGAATTGATATGCACTTGAATTCAGAACTATCAAACCAAAAATAAACTAATTCAACTTATAATTATAAATTAGATAATAAGCTAATGGATTGCAATTTTGCTCCAAAAATTTCTTACGTTTTTTATTATTACATTTTCTAACAATCTATTTGTCTCACATATATTAAATATATATATATATATTTTTTAACAAAAACTCCAAAAAGTGACTACCCAATCCATAAAAAGTTTTAATCCCAACTTTCCTTTGCGATGATATTTAAACAAGAGGGGAAAAAGAAGGAAAAGGAAAAAACAGAAGCACTTCCAACTTCCAAGCCATGTTTCCTTGTCAATTTGTAGCATCTCCTTCATCATCATCAGTCCCAACGCTCGCTAGTTCCTTTCTATGGAGTATCAGAAAACCCCTTCCACCAATCTTCTTTTCTTGTCCTTCTTCTTCTTCGTCTTCCACTTCCCTCAGCTTTTCTTCCTCGCTCCCTCAGCAGCCCCTCAGGTCAGCAAGTGGGGGAAACATAATACCTAAAGATTCATTTTTTTTTCTTTTGCGCTCTACTTCTCACTGCTAAAGTTACAGGTGTCCTGTTCTTGGTGCTGGCTTTGCTGGGCTATCTGTTGCTTGGCATTTGTTGCAGGTATCGTCTTTGTTCATGTGTATGTAGTCAAGTCTAGTAGTGGTTCATTGTGCATTTGTTTTATAATTTGGTGCTGCCTGGTGATTGTGAGTGAAAGATGAAAGGATGAATATAAATGTTCGTGACATTTCTTGCTTCCCGTTTTAATCTACTTTGAATTGCTTTTATCTGTTGCTGTAATGTCTTATTTTGCAGCACGGCTCCAGGGATTTGCCTTTGTTAGTTGACATTTATGATGAAGTTGGTATCTGTGCGGGTGCATCAGGAGTGGCTGGCGGACTTCTCCACCCGTATTCTCCTGAGGAGTGCTGGAACAGGTTGATTATTGAATGCAAGTACGTTGACTTCAGATTAATAAAATGTAAGTGCAAAGCCCAATAATTCAGTAGCTCTCCATTTCTTCAACAATGGAAAAAATAAATAAACAACTATATCCAGCTAAGAATAGGATAAAGAAAGATTAATATCAGCCAGATGTGAAATATACATTTACAACAAAGTTTGTGCAAAGAAAAGGCATAATTATCCTACCAAGTCCAGCACCAGCCCTCCCAATTATAAGCCCTCTATACCAGCTCATAACTAAACAACCTCTATATTGGACTGTACACAAATTCTCCCAAAATCCTTGATCCAACCTCTTCTAAGCTCAGAGCTTTCCAAGTTTCTGAAAGAGAGTTCTCTACAACTTTTTTCATCATTCCTAGCCATATTTCATTGACTTATTTCATCTCTAAATTTAACTCATCTTCCGTTTGTTAAATGGCCTCCAGTTGTCTTACTTGCATTTCAGCCGTCTTGGATGATCTGCAGTTGCTGGAGAACCTGTGTCCTAAAACTCCAGATTGGGAGAGCGAGCTCCTTGAAATGGTGTTATTAAAAATATATCTAGGAATTTTCAGAACATTTCTTCTATGTGTGAGAAAGTGGGGCGATGATGATGACGCAAGTCTAGGAGCACTGGTAGTTAGGATGAAAGATTGCATCTCCAAACTGGGACAGGCGATTCACAAGTTCTATCTTACTAGTGTGGAAGATGGATATCGTATGGACCTTGCTACATATATCTCCGATGACATAGTAGAAGAAGCGGCATCCCTCAAACAAGAAATCAAGGATTTAGAGTACTCGACAAGGCTGTCTAGCAAGTCCCCGGTAAAGAAAGATGACCTAATGGATATCATGGACTCTCTTCTGGAGAGCCCTCGGTACATTGTTTACTTTGCAGAGAACCACGCACTCTATGCAGGTTATGCAGAACTATCCGAAGGCTTTGCGGAGAAGCTGACATTCTTGAAAAACTACTTCTGTTTTCTTACACTTCATGGCTTCGAAGATAGGCAATTGGGACCTTTATTGACTCACATTAAATCTGTTGCCGTCAATGCAGCATGCAACAATGGAGTGTTGTTCTCTAGGTCGTCCATGTCACGTAACAATCCTATTCGGGACCTGCTGAAGAAGATCATTTTTGCAGAAGCCGAAGTCCATAAGACATGTGTCCAGGCCCTGATTTCTTCAAAGTTATCAAGACAAGCATACAAGGAAAAAGATTAGAACATATTCAGAGACTTCATCGATTCTCTTCTAGTCTATCATTGGGAGATACTAAAGACTGGAACTTGTATTATGATTTCTTTGAAGGATCGATTGAAAATGCTTTATGGGTCCCAAAGGGATTGCTGTTGGCTTGATAACTACCTGATTGCTTAGGTACTTTATTCAATTAGCCATCCATCAACATGTCCATTCAAATACTGGATAGAGTTAGGAGTTCATGGTAATACTAGTATTCCTTTCTTTTTAACTTGATGATAGGGTATCTTTAGTATCGTATTAACTGTCCAATACTGTAACAAATTGGACTACAAGCTTAACATATTATTGCTAACCCTCTTGAAACAGCAATTCTCTAGATTTATACAACCAATTAATAGCTGTTGTACCATAAACTTTTGCTTTTTGAGCTGAAGGATACTGCTTCTTGGTGATTTGTATCCTGAATTTGGTTTCTATGTCTCTCTTTTGAGCTTAATGTAGGAGCCAAAATTTAATGTGACCTCAGCTATTAATAAGTATCTATGATGTCTTACTTTTGTTCTATGTTTTTTTCTGGAGGGAATTTTGCTTCTGTATCTGAATGTAAATACTTATATTGAAGCAAAAAATTCTTAACTTTTGAAGTTTTACATCAGAGGGATCCTGAGACCAGCTGTCAGTTTAAAGAACATAAACATAATGGACCATGTACGTTTTAAAGATTATATTTTGTATTTTGTATCTCAGGTGCTACATGTAATAATATATACTTTTATTGCTCTCTAATAGTAGAATGCCGAGAACTGCCTTGCCATGCAGAATAGAGTCAATGGACAAGCATGCTGCAGAAAACCTTGTGCCTGGTTTGTCTGTGCCACTCAATGTGGCCTTTCATATGCCTGAAGCTTTAAATGTTCACTCTCAGTACTATCTTGAGGTCTGGAAAAGAGTTCGAGTGGTTGTAATCTGTATAATTGGGATACCTCCCTGCACTTGTTAAGAACTACTTATTTTGAATACTTCAACAGGCACTTTACTTAGCTTGTCAAAATTCAGTCGCAGAAATGTTGAATCTTGGTGTTGCGCCTAGAGAACTGAATTTCTGCATGACATGTGTTGGCAGTCTCCTTGAATTTGCAGGTAAGAACTTGTGGATATTTTTTTCTATTAATTGTCACCTTAATAAGAGAGGTATGCTGAAATTCTGAAGAATGGCATTTTAAATTTATGCATGCCATAAAATTACATAAACTTCTTTTTTTACTGGTGTTAAAGCCTGCCTATATGATCCCTGCACCAGCTTTGCAAACATTTCCTTTTAAAGAGATATATCTAATCCTCCTTTCTCCCTCCCCTATCTTCCCTTCTTTCCACCTTGTTTCGGATGAAGTTTCCTTGCATTGGTTCCTTAACCATTGTTTATATCACTACATTTGTCGTTCATTCTGCAACTCTTGCTCTTTGATTATCATAATGACTGTTAGCATCTGATGCATTCCTTCCTAATCATCTCCTGCTAATTGAGCTTAGTCCTACAAATGCATGAAAGATGGTATCAATCAATTGTAACTAATATCAGTTACATTGCACAAGTTTTGTGAATCCTGGATACTGGCATTACAAAGTCCTTCACTTGAATTCCTTGAGACTAAGATGCACATATCTAGAATTAATCTCCATGAGGGGTTCGGTACCTTGGACAAGAGTCTTTGGCTCTTCAAGTATGTGCTGTCACTGAGAGCTTATTCCTCATTGATATGTGAGAAGCAGCTGAACTACTCTGGGTTCGACAGAATAAGTCAACTGCTTGTAGAGAACTAAGCATGATTAGATGAGAAATTTGATAAAGATATCCTTTTCAGGGGAGTATAACGCCGTGGTCATTTGTCTTGGTGCCAGAGCAGCTTTTCTGCCAGAGTTTTCTGGAATACTTCCCTTGAGAACATGTAGAGGTGTTGTTACACACATGCAGCTCTCTGATAATATCAGGTACCTTTGAGGCTCAAATAACTCGAACTGATAAAACTTTCAGAGACCAGTCGGTTCAACATTGCAAATTTAATATTGTGAATATCCAATAATTATGGTTGCAGAAAATCACTTGTCTTCTGATATTGGGAGAAAACCTGAGTAACTAGTGCATGCTATACAAGTAAAATTTAGGAGCCAAAAGAGGAATGCTCTTTGCTTCAACAAAAGTTTGTGACACGCCACATACAATTACAGCACCAAGCTTAATAATGCAATTACATGTTTTTTTCCCATTTTCTTTTGATTTCCTCCAATATATCAAAAAAATTGTCTAGACGAGTAGTTAAGCAAGAGATAGAGGTCAATCTAGTAGTATGAAATACCAACTCCTGTAGACATTTGATCAAGAGATTTGGATGTCAATTGCACAATACTTCACTGAGATTGTGAGCAAAAGTTTCTGGTTCTTGAGCCTTTGGTAATTTAAACATGGCCTCTACCCTATAGCATGGCTTGCAACTAGCATAGGAGGTTTGCTTAAACTTGAGCCTCGTCCGTCCGGTCCATGGATACAGAAAACTTTGCATCATAATATCACACTCTTGGCCGGTTTCAGATATACTGCATTAAGCATCAACCGAGCATTGTGTTTCGCGTCTCTTTAATCGATAATATCTCTAAAAGTACATGTATTTCTCTTTTATCAGAGAAGAATATCCGCAGCATAGTCCCTCAATCCTGTCAGATGCCTGGCTTGCTGTACAGATGTCCTCGAAGATCTGTATTTGGGCTCAACATGGGAATGGAGGTCTACAAATTACTCAAGGGCTGTCCCAACAGTAGAAGCTTCTGAAGCCTTAGAAGAACTTCTATCAAAGGGATCTGTTATATATCCTGCTATAAGCAACTGGAAAGTCAGAGGAGCAGTTGCAGGACTAAGGGCAATGCCACCACTCACCCCTCATGGATCGTTGCCAATTCTGGGTTGCGTAGATAATGTCATAGGTCGAAATCATGCTTGCAAATATTGGGTATTTACCGGGCTTGGTTCGAGGGGCTTGTTCTATCATGCGTGGCTTGGTAAATTGATGGCACAAGCCGTACTTTCACGTAGTGAACATTCAATCCCTTCAGAGTTGCTTCTTTGGAAACAAAAGATGAAGCAATAACACACAGAGGATGTCTTCAGTCTAAACTATTTCAAGTGAATATATTGTAAAGGGGACATTTCTGTCTGCTTTCAGCTAATGCCTGGGTTTGGATTTTCCCCATATTACTAAAGCATGAGTCTTGAGCGTAAAATGATAATGACAATAATATCTGCTTCCACTTCTGAATGAATCCAAAGATTGTCACTCATGTCACCTTGCCCGGACCTTGCAAATAAAAGTTTCAAGTTAATTAGTGCTTATGCTTCAAGACATCTCTTTTGCTGATGGTGTATGGTCCTAAAGTCAAGACCACCTTAGATTCACCCTGCAAACTGCACCATCAATGTTATAAAACAGGGCGGAGCAAATCCAACAACTGAAACTGAATGTGGAGTGGTAGCGTGACAACATGTTCGAATGCCAGCATGATGGTTGATTGAACACTATCAGTTGACTGGGCAAGGCCAACCAAAGGATAAAATACTGAATGCTTTACTATTACATGTGAGGACTCCAAAACGACCCAAAATGCAAACTGCTAATTCCAGCATTAAGAGTCGAAATGGCTTTACATTCCAAGAAATGTTAAGATCATTCTACCACCACTAAAAGCTTTTTCAGCAAAAGATGCACAGGAAGTTACCTAACGAGGATACATGTACAACAGATAAACATGGCAAGTGAAAACCATCTCCAGCACGTACTAGCAAAACAAGGATTCATTCATCAAGATGGCCTCCATATATAAACCTGACCCCCGCTTGTAGCACTAGCCAGCGTCCCAACCTCGAATGGATGAGCGTCAAATCGACATGGAATTGCAGACATGTGTTCACTTTGTAAAGTTGCAGTAACATCTTTTCCCGTGGTGGAGATTATGTCAACTCCTCTTCTCATGTTCCCCACGAAAACATAAGAATCATCCCACCCCCATATTCCCCTGTTTTGCGAAGTGGAAATAACAAACAAAAGAGACTCGTAGTTAGGGTATCATTGTTATCAAGAAGGGAAACTTAAGTATCAACACCATTTTGCGCACAATAAGTAAAAATAATATCCTATGATATGGCAATGCATCATGGCTATCCACAAGATCCATAAGACCATCAAAGCATGTCAAAGACTGAAAAACCAATTTAAGTTACAAATATATTTCTAACTGAGACAGCCAAAATAAAGGTTGGCAACTTAAAATGCGCACATATATATCCAAATAATTCAACAAAGAGAAACTAAAACATATCACATGCATTCCCTGTAAATACTTTTGGTGGGGGGGGGGGCAGTGTGCAATGAAACTGGGACAGAGGCTGTGAGTATGTCTATTGAACAAACCTAACAAAATGAGAAATGTACAGTTTTCTTCCTAGAGACAGCTACAAGAAACAGAATTTATCTAGACACAGGAGAATAAATTTGAAAGATAAATCCATATGGTAAGCAATCTATTTGAGGCATTATTAATCAAGAATACAGCCACTTTGATTCATAGACTACTTCTTCCAATTCAAGGAAACAACTTATTAGTTCAAAAGCCAGCAAAACAAACAACAGCATTGTTCTTAAACGGACAATTTTACCTGAAGGAGGAAATCCACCTGCCTGTCTGGTTGTTATGGTATACCATTGTCATGTTTTGATAGGTATCTCCACTAAATAAGCCAACCATATCATCAGCACTGCACGGACAAACAGAAATATCAAGCATGTTTCCAAGTCAGAAACTGAGGTTCAAGAATTACTGTGCATCTCAAACCAGACAAATTTTACAGCAGACAATCTATCTTAAGAAAAAAGCCAATGTTTCTGAGCGAAGAGATTGAATGTATGGAACACTAAGTCTGAAATGCCAAGCTTGTACATTTGGAAAGAATACCAAGACAAGATTAATTCCAGAAAGTATACCAGAAAGTCATCGGCGATTAACTCAAACAGGAAAATATACCAGAAAGTAATAGGTGATTTTATTCAATACGAGGAGAACTCAATGAATGACTTTCAAAGACAATTAAGAGAGACATAGATGCATGGATGAACCCCACAAACCGCCAATCAACATACACTAAAAGTTGGAGAGTTCTTGCCATGCTTATAATGCCTTAAGCTTATAATGCCTTAAGCCCCAAAGACATCTCTTCATAACTAAGCATTATAACATTTTTTCAATGTGCATTAAATCCATAAACTTTTTTCTTATTAAAATCAACTACAACACACCTTGTAGTAGCAAGGAACCTTCCAGAAGGTGAAAAATAAGCTGAGTGCACAGCTCTTTCATGCCTAATACTCTTCAAAGCTGTTGACCCGTTAACACCAACTTTTCTCAAATCCCAAATGCAGGCAGTACCGTCTGTTGAA